TTTTTAATAATCACGTGACACAACGAATCAATAATGAAATTCTTTGAAAACGCTTGTAATAATCGATTTTATCGATTAGTTGTTGCTGCCCTAGTGACAAGTGAAAACTCTGGCATAACTTGTCAGCAAAGCTAGCTTAATGAGGTTAGTTCCACTTTGAGGGACATAACTGGGCATAAACTGACTTAATAGAACAAATGTTTTAATTTTTTACAAAGGATATTGCAAAATTTATAATTTAACCATCCATCCATTATCTTTATCCGCTTATTCCATTTTGGGTCACGGGGGTCGCTGTGCGAGGGGCGGGGTACACCCTGGACGGGTCGCAAGTCTGTCACAGGGCCACATAGAGACAAACGAGACAAACAACCATTCACTCTCTCTCTCACCTAGGGACAATTTAGAGTTACCAATCAGCCTAACATGCATGTTTTTGGTCTGTGGGAGGAAACCGGAGCACCCGGAGAAAACCCACGCATGCACGGAGAGAACATGCAAACTCCACCAGAAAGGCTCCTGGACCGGGTTTTGAACCAAGGACCTGCTCGCTGAGAGGCAGCAGCTCTACCAGTTGCGCCACCGTGCTGCTAATTTAACCATATTAAAGTTTTTTTTCCCCAGATCCTAATAGGATTTGAAAACAAAAGTTTAATGCTGAAATGTCCAAGAATTCTGATTTTTTTTTATTTTTTTACCTATCTAAAAAATTTGTCAGGTCCTCTGGACCAGAATTGCGCCGCTCCAGGTGGCTGCATGTTGGAGCAGCTCTGTTACTTTCATTCTGAGAATTTGCTTTTGGAAACTTTAATTCCTCTTTTTCTAGATGTAAATCACATTTTTTGGATGATTGTTTCCTCTGGTATCAGATGCTGTGCAGCAGGAAGGATTTTTACTGAAACATTTTTAGTTTTGGACATTTGTTATGATGTGTAACCATGGCAACAAGACAGTTTTCTACAACCTACACCAGCTAAATAACATCTCAAAAGCTCAAATAATATCTCAACTACAGCCCCAAATTTCAAGTGAGTTGAAAAGGATGTTCTGTGGACGCATTCTCATCTACCTGCCAGCTGTGCTCAAGTGCCTGACCACTGAGATCCTGGAACTAGCAGGAAACATGGCTCATGACAGCAGAAGGACAGGATCGTCCCTCAGCACCTACGGTTGGCTGTTTGCAGCGACAAGGAGCTCAGCAGGCTGCTGGGAGGAGTGGCCATCACTCTGGGATGAGTTCTGCCCAGCATTTGGGTGGTCCTACAGCCTGGGGGAACTGAGAGGCCAGCCGAGTCTGGGTGGACGGATCAGACGACATCTGCAGCCAGTTTCTTAGGATCCACTGTGGGATGGACCTTTACAAGAGATCCTTCCTGTCTACAGCCATCAGTATCTACAGGTCCTTCTCAAAAAATTAGCATATTGTGATGAATGTCATTATTTTCCATAATGTAATGATAAAAATGAAACTTTCATATATTTCAGATTCATTGCACACCAACTGAAATATTTCAGGTCTTTAATTGTTTTAATACTGATGATTATGGCATACAGCTCATGAAAACCCAAAATGCCTGTCCCAAAAAATTAGCATATTTCATCCCACCAATGAAAGACAAGTGTTTTTAATACAAAAAACACCAACCTTCAAATAATCATGTTCAGTTATGCACTCAATACTTGGTCGGGAATCCTTTTGCATGAATGACTGCTTCAATGTGGCGTGGCATGGAGGCAATCAGCCTGTGGCACTGCTGAGGTGTTATGGAGGCCCAGGATGCTTCGATAGCGGCCTTAAGCTCATCCAGAGTGTTGGGTCTTG